GCACGTGGTATTTTGTGGAAGAGCCACACTCAAGGGGCCAAAGTTGCCGCATGTGGCTCGCGAGCCACAGTTTGCGGACCACGGCCTTAGAGGTTTCCACTCCTGGATTTCTGCTGGGGTAAGTTGCCATTCTCTGTATTCACCTATCTCTCCAATTTGAGGGGTAGCAGTTTGCCTTTTGACCTCACTTCTCTGAGCAGACAAAAAGGGCCACATGCTAACCCAAGCATGTCAAACTTATGGCCCGCGGACCACATGCGGCCCACAATGAATATTTTTGCGGCCCAGCTAATATAACGGTATGTAAGAAATGTTTTAATAAAAATTTCGTAACTTAATTTTTACAATATCCTGTTATACATAATTATTAATAACAAACTACAACATTCACTAATGACTGATTACTATAATCGTGTTGCATTCATTTCCCTTATGCGCCTTACACACAGGTGCACCATTTCTCTCCACTAACACTAGCAGCAAATATTTTGGCAGCTGATTGCCACGTCATTAGTCTTGGACTGACTTGTTTGGTGTGCACAACAGGAAATATTTCGCTTTCGAAGAACAAAAAAAATAGGTTTATTTGCATTACACTTAATAATTTGTGCAGTTATTTAGTATCTGGTAAGTTAATGTTCAAAAAAAATATTAATTTTTATTAAAATGTTATATTATTTTATGTTAACAATTACTCATTTATTTCAGCCCATTGTATTCAGCATGTCTCTATAGAAATAAACCTACGTTTCTATGAAAATTGAAGCTTTTGTTTTTAAGTGGCCCACATAAACTTAAACCTTCTTTATTTGGCCCATGTTAGTTAGCCTTTGTGCTTGACATGCTTATGCTAACCTGACTAACTCAGGGAAGGCCTACTTGGCAGCCTTGCAAACTCAAGAGACCTAAAGTAACCACAAAGGATGATCTGACATTAAAACCTTTTAATTAAAAAGCAGTTTATAGTGGGTAGTCATGTCCTAGGCCAGTATCTTCCCTGACAAAGATCAACTTCGAACTTCACTGAGCCTATTGTCTTTTTGCATCTACGATAACATACCTGTGGAATGTCAGGGTAACTTGTAACTTCCCTTTTTCTGGACCCCTCAGGACACAAATTCCCTCATTGTTATTGTTATCGTTTTAATTGTTGACTGTTAACTATCCTATGCCCACCTATGTAAAAGAAGCATGTGTCTATCATTTTACTCTTTATCCAATCCCAGAGGTTCCCCTCCCCACTCCCAACTTCGCTTTCTCCCACCTTCCTAATCTGTCACCAATGGATTTCATGTAACCCACTTATATCTCCACCCTTGATAGTAATTTATAAAAAGAGATGAAAAACCACCATTCTCCAGAGCATTATCCCAATATGTTGAGATTCAGATTCTGCTTCCTGGAAATTGTCTACAGTTTGACTCAAATAACTCACAAAAATTCTTTATAGGTTTGAATGTTTTCTTACGCTAACATCTGACACACCTACGAAGATTTGTTGAGTTTTCAGTTTGTTCAGTTTCGTATTTGTTGTTAGAACAAAGTGATAACTTCTAAAAGCTCTTTACATGCTGAACTGAAAACCACACACACACAAAAAATCTCCATTTTCAATCTTTACCTTCACATTTACTGATAAAGTGATAACACTCTTATGAGATTAAGGAGAGGGGAAAAATGCAAATCTCAATTTGTCTCAATGGCATACAAATTGCCTAAAATATGATTAATCATAGTGTTTACCTTTTTATAAAGCTAAAATGCAAATTATTAATCAATACACTTCATTCTTTCTTTCTGAATCAATTAAAACATATGGACAATCAAATTTTATAGAAATCATTATTATAAATTAAAATATTTCCTAAATAAACACCTAAATATTAAGTTTCCATTAAGGACTTTAAAAAAATTTATCAGTATGTACTGCAATTCACTGATTACCCTTACTGCTCAATTAATATGCAGAAAAATAAAGCCTGTTTCTTTTTTTTTTATTACAGAGAGGAAGGGAGAGGGAGAGAGAGTTAGAAACATCGATGAGAGAGAAACATCGATGAGAGAGAAACATCGATCAGCTGCCTCCTGCACACCTCTTACTGGGGATGTGCCCACAACCAAGGTACATGCCCTTGACTGGAATCGAACCTGGGACCTTTCGGTCCGCAGGCTGACGCTCTATTCATTGAGCCAAACCAGTTAGGGCAAAGCCTGTTTCTTAAGTCCTAAAATCCTATATAATAAAAGGCTAATATGCAAATCGACTGAAAGGTGGAACGACCAGTCACTCACTATGACGCACACTGACCACCAGGGGGCAGATGCTCAACACAGGAGCTGCCCCCTGGTGATAAGTGCGCTCCCACAGGGGGAGAGCCGCTAAGCCAGAAGCTGGGCTCTTGGCTGGCGAGCACAGCAGCGGTGGTGGGAGCCTCTCCTGCCTCTGCAGCAGTCGGACATCCCCCTGAGGGCTCCCGGACTGCGAGAGGGCGCAGGCCAGGCTGAAGGGACCAACCCTGCCCCTGAGTGCAAGAATTTCGTGCACCAGGCCTCTAGTAGCATTATAATCCCTTTTAAACAATTTAAATTTTGAGATTCTTCCTCTGGAGGAAAATCAGTAGAAAGAGAAAATCTGTATGTGAAATTTGACATTTGGGTTCCAAATTCCCAACATTTGCTATCATTATGGAATAAACCTATGTCAAATTTAATATCCTTAGGAAATCTTCATCCACTGTAGAGTGCTATCTGTTCTTATAGCAAAAAAACAGCTAAAATTTTTTGCAATATCACACTGTAAAACAGATGATTACTTTTAAAAAATGTTTTTATTTTAATCCTACCAGAGAATATGTTTATTGATTTTAGAGAGAGAGGAAGAAAGAGAGAGAGAGAGAGAGAGAGAGAGAGACATCGATCAGTGCCTCCCAAACAAACCACAAATGGGATCAAACCCGCAACCTAGATATATGACCAGAAATTGAACCCCCAATCTTTTTGGTGCATGGGATGGCACTCCAACCAATTGAGCCACCAGCCAGGGCCAACTCATTGCTTTTTATATTACTGACTTAAATTTTATTCAACTGAGTTTTAACTTACTTAACCAAAAGCATGCTGGTTAAATAAGATGAACACATCTAATTCACCTTAAGGAATTTAAAGTATGTTGCAAAATATGCCTTCAAACATTACAAGAACATGAAAATGGCCAAACCCAAAGGAACTAATATTAGCATTAATTCACTTTACACATTTGCAAATTTTATTTTATTATTTCCACATCTATAATGCATTAGGTACAATAGACATTTCTGAGCCCTTTATACAGTGAACAGATGGTAAACCATTACAAAATTAGGAGCTAGGGTAACATCCTAAGGAATTATTAATAATAATTAATAATTCTTGCTCTTCAGCCAGAGGATAGCTACAGACTTGGACAATTTTCCCTACAAAGATAATGAGGAATTAGAGTGAGATACCTGGGAGATGATTTGGGAATGGTCACAAAAAGAAGTGGGAAAAGTGACCACAGTAACAAGTGAAAGATTATATTAAAGCTCTTATAAAAAAAGATTAATCTGCCCAAAAAACAGTTGTCAAATAATAAGGAAGATGGATGCTGTGAAAGATAGAAAAGAATGCTATAAAAGAAAAGTTCCACTCTTAATATGCTAAATATAAAATATATTCCTAAAACCCCAAAACAAAGTCAATATCTAAGTAAACCTAGGACTTAGTACTTGGCATAGTTTCTAGCTAAAGTAATAACCAACAAAATGAATCCAATTATGTCAGTTCACAAGAGATAAAGAAAAAACATCAAAACCAAAAACCAAAAAAGACTTAATCATGTGGGTGGTTACATATGCAAAAACAAACTATTCAGGTGAAAATGGCTATGTAAAAGAGACAAGGGAGCCTAGCAAATAGAGCACAGAATGTAGTCCTGCTCCAAAAAAAGTCATAATGTTTAGAAAGTCAGTGTACCATTTCCAGAGCTGAAATAATGTAGTCTCAGTGGAATCTTTTGAGAAAGTGATAGAGCATTAATAAACAATACCGTGGTTTCTAAAGAGAAAGGGGATTCCTAACTTTTAAAAAGAGAACATTTTGATTTATTAACAAAGTTATTTCAATATTAACTGTGAAAAATGGCTTACCTTTCTTCTCCTAGAATATAAGATGCTGACAAAACCACATGATATTTCCAAAGAAAGATATTATTGCTTGAATCTGGGTCACTGAAATAATCAACTGTTCAAAATGAGACAAAAGAAAAGGGTAATATTAATTATCTATACTTATATATTTTCTTTGTTGTTAACATGAAACATCTATTAATAAAAGCCTAAGCAACCGTTACAGCAGAACGACTGGAACGACCGGTTGCTATGATGCACACTGACCACCAGGGGCAGACGCTCAACACAGTGCACTCCCACAGGGGGAGCGGCCGCTCAGCCAGAAGCTGGGCTCACGGCTGGTGAGTGCAGCTGCGGTGGTGGGAGCCTCTCCTGCCTCCACAGCAGCACTAAGGAGCAGTGAGCCGAGCGGTAAGGAGAGAGCAGGTGGGAGATAAGGAGCGAGGGATCCCAGACTGCAAGAGGGATGTCCCCTGAGGGTTCCCAGACTGCGAGAGGGTGCAGGCCGGGCTGAGGGACATCCCCTCCCTCCCGTGCACAAATGTTGTGCACCAGGCCTCTAGTACTATGTATCTCATATAAAACCTGATAAGGCCATTCCCTGGAGAGTTCAAACCTGGGGACAAACTGTCCCCAGGTTTGAACTCTCCAGGAATAAACTCCTTTGAAACAAAGACAGGACAAATAATTAACTCTATTTAAACAATTCTTGATCACTCAATATCAACAGGTTATTTCAACAGGTTATTTTTAATTTTAAAAGTTTTCTTTAATATTTACCATTATTACCCCACTTACATTTTTTTCCCTAAATAGGAATACGAATCAGGTAATACAAAAAGACCCCACTGTACATTTTTTTTTATAAAAAGGGTAGGGACAGGAGACAGGACAGGAATATCCCAAACAGCTTCAAGGACAAAAAGCATGTTCCACACCAGATCATATTTACAGTTCCTCATCTAGAATTCAACTAACATATAACTGCAGCAATCAGCCAAGCTTAGCAAATTAAAATAACAGTAATTTTGACAGATTACCTTCTATAAATATTCAAATATGGACATTTATGTGCATGCAAGGGTCTCTGTATGCCAATCAAAATGCTTTGTTTAGGATCCTAAGATTGAGCTTTCTTTTTCACCCTTCTTTTCTTAGGAGTCCCCTGAATCCTTAACTTTCATTTTAACTCTTTCACCTCAGCTGACAAAGAGACCAATCATTGCTCTATTTATAGCCTGAATTATTATCCATAGCCTGAATTAAAATTTTAAGAATAACAGTCATATAAAACATCAATAGACAAAAAGAAAAGTGCCTAGAACCTTTGAAAATCTATCTGTAAACACGAAAGGAAAGACCCAGTAGCAGTGGAGGGAGGGGGCAGAGACAGGATCTTAAGGGATGGCAACTGAAAAAGAGATTAACTTTTTATTCATGGAATCAGATATGCCTTGGTATAGTAAAATCCAAATGCAAAGAAAAATTAACAACTTCATAAATTTGAGCTACATTCAAAGTCCCACTAAGATAGACTACCATATATTTGTCTCAAGACAAGACGCTACATTTTGAAAACAAGTTTAAGTATATGAAAGTGTCAAAGAAGGGAAATAACAATTACAATTTAGACTTCCATGGGTTTAAACTTCATGGGTCTATTTATATGCAGAATTTATTTAATAAATACTATAAATGTATATTCTCTTCCTTACAATTTTAATAACATTTTCTTTTCTCAAGATTACTTTATTGTAAGAATAAAATATATAATACATATAACATATAAAATATGTGTTAATTAACTGGTTATGCTGTCAATAAGGCTTCCAATCAATAGTAGCTAAAATTTTGGGGAGTAAAAAGTTATAAGCAGATTTCTGACTGCATGGGGGTTAGGTACTCCAAACACCTACATTGTTCAAGGGTCAACTGTAGAATGAAATTCAAACCAAATGCAATTTTTGAAATCCACAGATAGCCCTTTTAATCAAGGCAAGATATCTGATGCATGGATTTGCTCATTGTCCTTCTATCCTATCTCCTATTAGTCAGTTTCCCTAAAACATATACACAATTACTGCCACTCTGTATCTAGGACAGCATCATAATTATATAAGAAAAGTCAGCTTATTCAGAGGCATATGCTGGACTGTTCCCACCTGGAAAGAAACAATTATTAATACCTCTACTGAGCTTGCTCAAAATACTTCTAGAAAGTTAGGCGGACTTGCAAGAAACTTACTTTATGATCACTCACCAACCAACCACCCAAACCCAGGTCCAACAGTGATTCCAAGCCAGACCAGTGGTTCTCAAAGCAGGAAAGGGAGAAGAAAAGTCTGGTCTAGAGACCAATAGCTTCAGACTTCCCTGAGAGCTTGTTAAAAATGCAGAAACTCTGGCCTTATCCTAAGACATATTTAATCAGAATCTGCATTTTAACAAGATCCCCAAATAACTCATATACATATTAAAATTTGAGAAGCTCTTCAGGAAGAAGAATATTAGAATGAGAGAGAAGGTATAATATTCTGTTCAAAAAATGGTTCCCCCTGCAGGCCCATGTTTGGCCAATAAACAACCAATCTTTAACCTCTGGATTATAGCATCATTATTCCTGCCACAATTTTTTCTTTGTTTTTTTAAAATAAGGTATCTTGAAAAACAGAAACTCCTCGAGACCCAAAGAAATGAGTATATAATGATTAAATGTCAGGTCCTAAGAAATGCTAACAGTTACCTTAGAGCAAGTGGTTCTGTCTCATGCTCCCAGATCACATTAACTAAACAAGTTAATTTTAAAATAATAATAATTCCTCTCTTTCCAAATGCTAAACACTAAGAGCATGTGGGATCCCAGTGGCTGAGAAAGAGACCAAAAAAAAAAAAAAGCCTATGCCATCTTGTAAGCAGAGAGGAGAAGACTGTATGTGCTGGTTATTCGACTACTGTCTCTCAACTCCAAATTCACCCATAATACTCAGCTCAGTAATGCTAAAAATAGAAGTCTAGAAACCATTTTTCTCTTTTGCCAACTAGCTTTCTCATGCTACCAATAAGGGCACTAGAAGGAGAAACTTGCTTTTCCCAGTCAGTATAGCTACAGCATAGGCCCTCAATCCCAGCGACAGCCACCAGTGTTTTCTGACACTCACAGAAGTATCAGCAACATCCAGGCAGTAACCTCCTCCAGAGGCTTTGAGCTCCAAATCTACTCCAAGATCTTCTTTGATCCCCCAGCCCTACAGGTGGTTGCTGCTTTCTATAATTGTTGTCTGTGTTACTCCAGTGTTCCTCTTTTGCTTTTTCAACCCTCCAATACCTATAAAACCCATTGTCTATCCTAAATTTTGTTAGTATATCTAGTGTGGATTGTTTCCCTATCCAGAGTCTTACTGATACATCATGGCTAGATGGAATAAAATTCAGCATGAACTTGATCACTCTGGAACACTATTTTTCCAAAACATGACAGTCCATGAAAAAAATATTTACTGCCACTCCCCCAAAATAGGTGCAAAATGGGAAATAGATGCAAGAAGTACAGTTGGGAAAGAAGGAATAGGGAACACAACCTAAGAAGTAATATATTCAAACAAATACCATGGTAAAAAACATTTTAGCCCCAAAAACATAAAGAAAAGGCCAATAAAAAGTCTGAAACAAATTTTCCCCCTTAAGCAATACAAATCAGAGTTTGAAAGGTAGAAGGAACTTTATTCTTCTGCCTCTGCCATTGTTCAGTTTTGTTAAAGCAGTTTTATATTGAGTTTGAATTACTTTCAGGACAGTACTGAGAAATTAGGGAAAATCCAAAGATCTCAAAAATGATGAAAGCAATAGGAAATAGGATCTATGAAGAAAGGTTCAAGGACTCATACTTTTTAGTCTAGTCTAATGAAAAGAAAACTTCAAGGCAACAAAATAACGGCCAACCAGTTTAAAAGATCTGACCAGCTAGGCTTCATCATTCCTACAAGTGTTTAAAATGATTGAAGGTAAAGTAAATAAAGATATAAAATGGAGCTTCTTAGCTTACTGACTCTCCTTCAAAGCAGAGCTCTTCATGCTTTTTACACATAAGAATGACCTAGAATATTTTTTACAAAAATAACGATGATGATGGTGATGCCCAGAATATTAATGCCAGAGATCTGATTTAACTGGTCTCAGATAGAGTGTAGGCATAACTTAAAAACAAAAACAAAAAATATCTAAGTGTTTATAATGTACTGACAGAAGGGCTAATAACCACTTAATGGAACATTCCATAACTTTACTACTCAAGGTATGGTAAGGACTAGCTACATCCAGATTTCCTAAAAAGCTTGTTAGAAGGCAGCATTACAGGCCTATTCCAAAAACTCTGCGTAAGAATCTACACATTAATAAAATCCCCAAGTAATCTGCATGCACATTAAAATTTAAAAACACTGTTCTATTACCATTTGAAAAGGCTGTATCTGTGTGTGTGTGTGTGAGAGAGAGAGAGAGAGAGAGAGAGAGAGAGAAAGAGGAGTACAAACTCCAGCCTAAAAATAACTTGCTAAATAGAAATTTTTCTGAAGTTACAATTATTAAATTTTTATACTTTTAGAGTCTATTAAAGTTTACTAAAAATACTATTTTAGTGAATAAACCAATATTTAATAATAACTATTATTTATTCAGTATGTAGTATTTGTAAGCATTGTTCTCTACAAAAATATTTAAACCTCAACAGATGTCTGTAAAGTAGATAATTTTATAATCCCTGTTTTACAGATAAGGAAACTGAGGCAAGAGTTATATTAAAAAAATAATTTGCTCTAGATCACATAACTATTAAGTGGCAAAGTTGAGAACTGAACCTACATAGTCTTGTTTAAAAGCTTATACTCTTGGTTGGGTGGACGTGAACAAAGGGGTGTAGGAGGAAATGGGGACATTTGTAATAGTCAACAATAAAAATAAAGTTAAAAAAAGAGTGTATACTCTTAATCACAAAATAATACTATCAATACCATCCCAAAACATTCTGAAATCATTCAGGAAGGAAGCATAATTACTGGTAATAAAAATTCTATAAGAGTAAAGAAAAAAAAATCAGTGTGTTTTCTTCTGGTTAAA